TTATTTTCAGTAGCATTGGGGATAGCAAGGAATTGAAACCCACTGAAGATCTAAGTTAGAAATCAAGCTAGAGATTTAGACTCCCCCCGCCCTCCCGTACCACCCTGTCGAAGCACGTTACTGCTACCATCAAGCAGGGTACATGGGCTGGGGTTGTTTTTTTTTTCTTATATTTGAAGTAACAGGCCAAATGACAATGAGGGGAAAAAATACATAGGTAAGAAACTGTATCTTTGAAATATTGAGAGTGGGCTATACTGTCACTTGTGGGCACACTGTTTCTAGGCACTGAGCAAAAGAGGACACTAGCCATGGCCCCCACTCCTGGTTCATTAGAGTGCTGGTCACCCCTTGGAATGGAACACATTCCATTCAAGGCTCTAGTCACAGCAAGGGGAAATATACATTAAATTCATTTTTTTTTTTTTTTTGTCTTTTTCCGTGTCTGGCAACGGATCGCAACCCTCAGTGTCGCCCCCGCACCGGACCGGGACCGGCAACGGGATCGCAACCCTCGGTGTTGCCCCCGCGCCTCGCTCAGCCAGTGAGCGGGAACCGGTCTGCATGTGGGATCCGAACCCTCGGGCAGGAGCACCGCCGCGCCTCCCAAGCGGCGCACTATCCAGTGCGCCACCGGGCCGGCCCTAAATTCATTTTTTAAAAAATACTCTTGGAAGAATTGATAATAAAACCAAGATCCAAAATTTAAAAAATATTTTAAGTATTGTGCTTTCTTTTTTGCCTAACAATGAAGCGTTTATGTAATTGCTTTTGTCTGGGTTCTGATTTAAGTGAAATATCCCATTCTTAGAACACAGTTATCAAAAATATGTGCTATCTTTTGGTTCCAGAAAAGAATACATGTTGACATCATCAAAACAACACTCTTTGAGAAGCAAGCATTTAGTAGGGTCTTAAAGAAACTTGAAAAGTATTGTATAGCGTGATGAATTGGGCAGAGCATGTAAAATTATATATAAGCAAGGAAAAGATCTGTGGGGTCTCAACATTTGGCTTGGTCACTTCTTCTTCTTGTTCTGTGTTTTGCTCTGTGTGGCGTGAGCTGTCAGACCCTTAGGACTTGTCTTTGCCTCCCTCGGCCGTGGGTTTGGTGTGCATGTCTCCATTTTTCCGCACTGTTTTCCTCATTAGGTGGTGGGTTGTGAGACGCCTTCCTCCTGCAGTCTCTCTCTGATTAAAGAGGGTAAATTGCTAGTCACTCAGCCTTTAGTTCTTTTCACAAATTCCTATGTTCTTAAAAATAAATACCTTATTCCTTCCAGATTTAAAAACAAAAACCAAAAACCTGTTTACTGTCTTTGCTGCTGTGATCTTGTGTAGAAGAGGCAAACCTGAACACAGCTATTAAAAGGACTGTTTGGTAGCTGGGGTGCTCTTTGATTAAACAGGCTTACAGGTACATGGTACAGTCTGCTGGTTTAAAAGGTGATACTTGAATTAAATGCAACCGGATGAAAGGCCACAGTCCAAGCAGGTGAGATGATTAGATGAATTATTGAAGAGAGGAAGGGGGTCAGGTGTTTCCTGGTTCAGTTCTGTCCCAGGCTGTTGAATGGCTGAAGATGTTCCAGGCTGCCCTAAAATGTTGTTTTAGGTCAGCCAGGAGGGATGCTCTTCAGTTTTAGGTACACTTCAGTCTTTGAGATGAAGAATTGGATCACACCTTGTCGTGCGTGTTCCGAGTCCTCTCCTGGGAGGAGAAGTGCAGTCGAGTTCTATTTTGAGGTCACTGACTTGCACAAGGACAGGAAAGGTCTATCTGCCAATTGAAAATAGCAGATTTCTTGAAGTCAAACAGCCGTTCACATTTGATTGTGGGGTAGTTTTTATAAAATGTTCAAATGTTAAGTTCATTTTCATTTGTAATCTGAGACAGTTTTGCACAGCAGTGCCCCAGGGGTAAAAATGAGTGTTCTGGCCTCATAGTGAGACACGTCTCCTGCTTACAGCCTAGAAAGCTCTAGGGAAGATTTATGCCATCTGTGCAGCTAGGTTTTTTTTAAAAAGCAAAATTTATACTTTGCTCCAATATTAAGTTATCCTGTGGCAAACTTTCTTGAAGGAAGCACTCATAATTATTTTATTATGTGGTAGACATAATACAAACATTCTCTTTACCAAAAATGAGATAATATATCATGTAACTACACTGAAGTATTTTCTCAAAGTTTAATATAATTAGAAGTATAGTGCTTCAGGCCGGCCCGGTGGCGCACTGCTACAGTGCGCCGCTTGGGAGTGCGGTGGCGCTCCTGCCAAGGGTTCGGATCCCACATACAGACCGGTTCCCGCTCACTGGCTGAGCGAGGTGCGGGCCCAACATCGAGGGTTGCGATCCCGTTGCCGGACACGAAAAAAGACAAAAAGGAAAAAAAAAAAAAAAGAAGTATAGTGCTTCAATACAATATAAAATATTTTAGGAATAATAGAATGAGTTTGTTTTAGAATTCAAACAATGCTAATAAAATGGATCAACATTTTAAAAGTCTAATTTATAATCAACCCTGGTTGAAAATAAAAGCCTTAACCTGCTATTATGGAAGAGTTAACCTTGGCTTTAAATTCTTTGCAGCTAGTAGATATGACAAAAGCATGGGAGTTATATTGATGAGGGAAGAGATGATACAAACTGTTGAGTACTTTTGGTATTACAGCATCATAATATCTTACTACATTAAAATGGTTGGCCTATTTTTAAGTGCTTGGTAATGATGGTACCAGTCTTGTACGAAAGGGTGAATTGCTGTTTCATGAATAAAACCTTCCTTTAAGCTAGTTTTCAAAACTAGTCCTAGGCCTTTTACTGAAACTCCTGCCAAATTCAGTCCTCATTCAAGTATTTATTGAGCACTTACTATGTCCCAGGCATTGTGCCACGTGTTGGGGAATGAGTCATATACACAGTAGTTCTTTACTTCCGTGAAATTACTGTTTGAACTGTTTCAAACTAAAACTGGAAGCTAGTAATTAGGTATAGGAGTCAGAGAGCTACCTTATACTTGATTTTGATTTTAATTTCATTTAAATAAGCTAATTGAGAAGAAAACACCTGTGCTGTTTAATAAAGCTCTTAGAGCCAAAAGGACTGAAAGCTAAAGGGAGGAAATTGAAAGCAGAATTTGTGCGGCCTTCAGGATGCATGCTGGGGACCAGAAAGTTCTTGCCCTTTCCTTCCATCTTCTTCTAGGCAATGGACATTTTACCCAAGAGTGAACTTTTATTGGCTACAAGCTGCAGGAAGTCCTTTCTGGAGTAATTCCTCTTGCTTATCATACACAAACCAAACTGCCACTGCAGAGTCAGGGCTAAGATTTTTGGTCTGCTGAAATTTGGAAGTAGAACAGAATGATGTTTTTTCAAAAAAAAAAAAATTTTTTTTTTGTCCCCCAGCAACCATATCTGTTATTTAGTGCATCTCTGACCATTTTGACGTGGAGAAACCTTTATGACTACTTGTCTTTCTATGATTGCAGAAAAATTATATTTTAATGTATGAAAATAATATTTAGTGGGTAATTTGGTGATAATTTGAACAAATGTCCAGAATTCACTGTTGTTTTTCTTTCTTAAAAGCAGATGAGTAATGGATCATAAAATGCTATACTTATGTATTTTATGTCTAAGGACTGTCAGAGCTGGACTGAGTTTGCTGACTTAGCAGTGACACACTTAGATCTCGCAATGGTGGTTTTTTGTATATAATTTATTTTGATTTTCATTGGGAAAAAGGAAAAGATACGTGATCTGATAAAGTCTCAAAAACTTAAGTGAAGTTTCATTCATCAGAGTTGAGAATCTTAAATTAACAGGGTACAAAATCTAATATGGTCTTTTCTATTAAAACAACAACTGGAACCCCTTCTTAGAATTCAGACACACAGACAGTAATTATTTTTTAAAAATTGTAGAAGAAGGGGCCAGCCCGGTGGTGCACTGCTATAGTGCGCTGCTTGGGAAGCGTGGTGGCGCTCCCGCCGAGGGTTCGGATCCCACATACAGACCAGCCGCTCACTGGCTAAGCGAGGGGCGGGAGCAACACCGAGGGTTGCGATCCCGTGGCCGGTCCCGGTCCGGTGCGGGCGTGACACTGAGGGTTGCGATCCGTTGCCGGTCACGAAAAAAGACAAAAAGGAAAAAAAAAATTGTAGAAGAAAATAATTACTTGGGTAGTTGGTCAGGTGAGTTAACATAACATCATTGGTGATCAGTCCATATGTCAGGTATGCGGACAGAACTACCTTTGAACATTAACCTAAAATACAGAAAACCAGGCAAGTTTTCTATTTATATTTACTATATTAAAACAATTTATCTGTTAATGATAGTTTTAAAGTCTGCAGTGGTTCTCAATATTATTTCTTCCATATTTTTAAAAAGAGCAACACAGTAATGTTAGTCATCATATGCAGTGATTCTCAATGGCAAGGTCATGCCCTTTATAGGGTTGGGTGGTCATGTTGCAGTTTTTGATTGAGACATGCACAATGTCAAAGGGTCCAGCCACACTCCATTATAAGAAGGATGAATGTGCATCTCAGCCCGAAGCACATTAAATATTTCAGTCCTTAGAAGTATTTATATTCTCCACTTGTCCAAAACACATTTTAAAAATCCAGTTGTGGGTAGGTTCAATGAAATAACCTATTGGGAAAAGAGGAGAATTAGTTGAAATCAGTTTGAACACAATAGCATAATCAGACTAGAAAGTTTATCATTATATGGAAGTGAGTGTATTTCATCCCCAGGAATGAGAAAGGCTTCACTCTAGAGGATATGGAGAATACTTCAAGTTTATTCATGTGCTGTCATCAGCAAGCAACATTGGCATTTATCAGGGTTGAAAGCAAGCTCTAAGTCTTAGAACACTGGAAGAAAAACAGTAACATTTCTCCTCCTTTATTGGTGGTTATGCTGTCATTTTGTTTTCAAGCTTTCCTATATAACTGTGCCGGTGATTGTCACCTCTGTAATTTTTTCAGTACCCATCGTAAAGCAGACCTGGGAGGGACAGGCAAGTCTCATTGAGTACTACAGTGACTACGCAGAAAGTTCAATCCCCACTGTGGATTTGGGAATTCCTAATACAGACAGAGGTGAGTCTTTAATTCTTACTCCTTCTCTTATTAAAGAATCCCCGTTCTGCTGGAGATCACATGGTGCTGATAACACCAAGGTCGAGTGTTTGTATCCCTGTACTGGCCAGCCACAAAAAAAAAAAGAGAGAGAAAAAGTTCTTCTTGTAAGTATAGTACATTAAGTTAGTATAAAAAAAAAATTTATAAGTACTATAATTTTTGCCTCATGTTAGTTTTTTTCCTTCTTCCCCCGCCCAACATATTTACCCACAGATATAGACTAGTTCTTCCAAATTCAGGGCTTCAGAGTACAGTGTTGTACATTTTTAGTAGGTTGTATTGGTATGATTGAGCACATGAAACTTGCAGTAGAGTTTAACAGTAGGTTTTTCATACCTTCATTATTCATCATGGCCATAATGGGGTATCCAAAGTTAACTTATCATCTTTCCACACAAAACCTCTATCCTCCTAAGTCTTATAGTCTAGTTCACATTTTGTATGTAACTCAGAGCAGTACCTAAGCATGTTCTACATTGGTTGTATATAGAATGAGCTCTGTCATGTATGTTGTATTAGTCTGTTTCTATTGCTTAGAACTGAATACCTGAAACTGAGTAATTTATAAAGAAATGAAATTTATTTCTTACAGTTTGGAGGCTGGGAAGTTGAACGTTCAAGGAATACATTTGGTGAGGGCCGCCTTCTTGGGTGCTGACTCTCTACGGGTCCCATGGCAGACAGGGTGTCACATGGCAGAAATGGGCTGAGCAAGAGATTGCTAATCTTCTCACTTACTCTCCTTCTAAAGCTTTCAGAACCATGCCCATTACTCCATGAATGGATTAATCCATTCAGAGGGAACAGTCCTCACAATGTAATCACCTCTTAAAGGCCCCACCCTTCAATTACCACAGTGGGATTTCCCACCCTCTTAACACTGTTACAATGGGGGTCAAGTTTCCCATGGATGAACTTTTGGAGATGCATTTAACCCATAGCATATGTTAATATTTTAATTAATAAATTGTTGGGAGTGTACCTGCTTTTCTCTTCAGATTGCAGGTTTTCTAATTAAAAACATTTTTATTTCAAAAGTGGAAATAGAAATTTGGCCATCTCATCTTTAGAGCTTTTTGTTCATCTTAATTTTTATCCAGTGTTCCTGCCACTCTTTTTCCTTAGGTTTTTTGATTCCCTGTACCCTTTTATGAATAAAAAAGAGTAGCAAGCTGATTATCTTGTTCTACAAAGTAATTTATCTTGATTATTTTAAATTAGTGTCATTTATAACTCCTTGATTAAGAAAATAAAATGTGTAATCAGATATGTCATTCCTGTAGCTAACAATTCTTCAGACAAGGTTAAATATATTAGTCTGTCTGTTGCTGTCTGTTTTGGAAAAACTAGTTTAGATCAAATTTTCTCTTTTCTTTTTTTTTGTTAACCTTGCTTTTTAAGACTTCAGTTTAGATTGGCTTCAATAATAATTTACTTATTCATGCATTCCTTATTTGATTTCCTCATTTGTTTCTAGTCTGACCTAATTATTGCCCATATTTGTAGTCTGTTTTAATCCAAAAGGAAGTTGAGATGGCTTTCAAAAATATATACTGTGATGGCTAAAAATACATAAAGAGATAAAGAATAAAGAAAATACAAGATTGAGTGGTTCAATATTAATTAATTAATATTAGTTTGTTCTGTACTGTGTCACCAAATACTTAGTTGAAATGAGGGGCATATTCTTATTTATCACTTGAATACTCTTCCCAAGCATTTTATGCTTATCTTGGTCTCAGTATTACATTGTGGTGCCTTTAAAGCATTGTAATTTATCTGTTGGCATCTTAAGGACAGTGACTTTCTGTCTTATTCAGCACTATATCTTTAGTGCATATCTTGGTACTTGCCACAGTATCTGGCACATTAGAAACTTAGTAAATATTTACAAAATAAATGAATGAAGGTACAGTCTTCCACTTGTACACTGTATTAGTCCATTTCTGTTGCTTATAACAGAATACCTGAAACTGGGTAATTTATAAAGAAATGAAGTTTATTTCTTAAAATTTTGGAGGCTGGGAAGCCCAAGTTTAGGGAATACAGCTGGTGAGGGCCTTTTTCTTGGTGGTGACTCTCCACAGCAACTCACGATATTACACAGTAGAATGGGCTGAGCAAGAGAGAGCTAACCTCCTCACTTGCTCTCCGTTTAAAGCCATCAGAACCAGGACCATTACAGCCCATTAAAGCAGCACCACATTACTCCATGAATGGATCAGTCCATTCTCTAGGGCATGGTCCTCAGATCCAATCACCTTTCAAAGGTCCCACCCTCTTAACACTCTTACAATGGAGATTAAGTTTCCAGTACATGAACTTTTGGGGGCACATTTGACCCATCGCATACCCCATTGCTTCCTTGTGAGGTGGTGCTTGGGGTTCTAAAAGTTCCTTCAGAATAAGCATATCTAAGAAAGGATGCCAGCCTTCTCTAATTGCTGTGAGGCTGACAACCTTCTTGTTTGTCTGTACCAAAGATACTAACTCTTTCTCTGCCTCAAATAATCTGTGTGACCTTGTGTAATTCCCCTAATCTCTCTAGTTCTCCATTTTCTTGTGTGAGATGAATAGTTTTTAGACTTCATGATCTCTAAAATTCCTACCAGTTTACTATGTCTATGACAATTAGAGAAGGCTAATTTTTTAAAAATCCTAATTATTAAGGTGTATGTTGGCATCCAATCTCTTACAGCACTTTAAAACTAATAAAAAATTTTTTAATGAATTATGTATAGACGGTATAGCACAAGATGCTAAAGTGATATGCATTCAATAGAAATTGTACTTCGAGTACCCATATGATCGTTCTGTTTTCCACTTTTAGTACAGTATACAATAAATTACATGAGGTATTTAACACTTTAGAATAAAATAAGCTTTGTGTTAGATGATTTTGCCCAACTGTAGGCTAATGTAAGTGTTCTGAGCATGGTTAAGGTAGGCTAGGCTAAGCTGTGATGTAGTTTAGGGGTATTAAATGTATTTTCAACATTGTAAGTCATGGAGTATCTGTATATTTTGGAGAAAATTATACACTTTGTTGTTTTCTTGCCTTTCCTAGGTCATTGTGGAAAGACGTTCGCCATTTTGGAAAGATTTTTGAATCATAGCCATGGCAAAGTAACATGGTTAGTCATTGTAGATGATGATACATTAATAAGGTAAGAAGTCATTCTTATTCTAAGTGGCTTTAAATTCTACACATATTCATATTCAAAAACTATGATGGGTACTTCTGCTTCTGGCAAAAATGGAATAACAGAGATGAGATTTACTCTCCTATCTGAAACACCCTTCCAAAAAGGACAAAATATATGAAATAAAGGTTTTTAAGACTCTGGGCATTAATGCAACAAAGGGCATTGGTACCTGAGAGAGACATGAAGCAAACGAGGTCCGTCCTATGACTGCCTAGCTGCGTGCCTTAAAGAGAGTTCCAAGCCACTGCTTAGGGAAGGGGCACCAGGTAGAATCTGGGAGACTCTTTGAGTTGAAGAGATGGAGCTGAGAGTTTCAGGAGACTAAGCCTGTTAGAGTTTGCAGAACAGAGTACCAGAGAGGAGACTGATGCACAGAAAGAGGACACTGGAGATCTGTAGAGGGTTCTCATTAAGTATTCGGTAGAGTATTGATCGGTAGGGTATTGGTAGTGCATGTGTGTGTGGAAGCTACCCAAGGCTAGGGGAAGAACCCAGCAAAATGATAAGAGGGAATGATGCCCAACACTCACACAGGGCTGTCTACACAGCCAGTTCCTGCCAGCCAGACTGGAGAGCCCATGACTCACAGGGCATTGGGTAGAGTATACAGAAGGGTTTTGTGTCAGTAGTGGAGAATAGTTTACCTCAGACTAAGCACTGCTCTAGTTCTGCCTTACAAATATGAATAGCACAACCCCAAAAGACCAAACCATTTCCAAGTATCTAGCCTGTAGCTGAGAACAAAAGCCTAGAAGATTTATAGAAATATAAAAATATCCAGCACCCAGTAAGGTAAAATTACAATGTTTTCCATCCAATCAAAAGTTAGCAAGATAAGAGGGGATTATTAAAAAGAAAAAAAAAGTTGCCAGCAATGCAAAGCAGCAGGAAAATAATGAGAAAACATCAGTTGATAGAAATTGTCCCCAAATTGATAAGTGTTAGAATTATCAGTTATTAAGCTATTACTATTAAATAGTTACTATAACTCTATTTCATATGTTCAAAAAAGAGAGACAGAAGGTATAAATAATTCTGAAATTGTACTTCTAGAAATGAAAAGTACATTATCTGAGGTGAAAAACCCAGTGGATGGGATTAACAGCAAATTAGACATTACAGAAGAAAATATCAGTGAACTTGAAGACATTGCAATAGTGACTATCCAAAGTGAAACATGAAGATAAAAAATAATTTTAGAAAATGAACAGAGCATCACTGAGCTATAGGACAGTTTCAGGTGGCCTTGTACATATGCAGTTTTTGTCCCTAAAGAGAAGGGGCACATGACAAATATTTAAAGAAATGTTTTCCAAATTCTATGAAAACTATAAACCCACAGACCCAAGAAGTTCAATGAACCATAAGCACAACTGTGAGCATAAAAGCAGAGCACAACCGCCTCCAAGAATGCAAAAGTGATGCCCTCTTCAGCAGCATCTCGTGCAGCATTTATTGCATCTGTAACTGCATCACTTGTGCCAGCAACCTTTAGCAGAGCTGCTCCACCTGAAACTTGGGCAGATGTTCATTTACTTTTTCTTCTTTTTTCATATTCACTAGTAATAATATCTAACTGCTCAATGATGTCTAAATGTGCTTTTTAGTTTGAGCCTTGTTACCTTTGATTTGGGTTAGCCCCTCTTCTCCATGAATAACAGTAGCCACATCTTTAACCTGGAGCTCTGACTTCTAGAAGAGCAAAAGTATTGGGGACATAAAAAAATACCTTGAATGTAAAATTGGAAAACTAAAAAAAAAAAGGAAGTGGACAAAGTAAATTAACCTAGAATTTAATGGACTTAAGAAAGAAATAGAAGATGACAAATTCATGACTAAATTACAAAACACCCAAAGTAAACAAATTCTAATGAAAATGTAACAAGGCACATGGATGAAAATTAGGAAAGCAATCAAGAAAGTGAAAATGGTTTAAAGAAGTTAAAAGGGTTAGAAACAAGTGGTTGAAATGGAGGAGGCAAAGAAATCCAATACATGTATAATTGGAGTCCTGATTAAGGAAAATCAAAAGAACAGAAATGGTATTTAAATGATCAGACATAAGAGAAGATCTTATTCTATTAATTGAGCAGGTCCACTGGGTACCATGGGAAATTGACCTGAAATCAACTTTTTCACATATCTAAGTAAAACAATTTGGTTTTAAAGATAAAACCTCCGAGTCTCCAGGCAAAATGATGAAATAACTAAATAGCAAGAAAATTAGACTGGCACCAGAATTCTCAAAATAACATAAAAACCATAGTAACAGTAGATTTTATATGCAGCCAAACTGTTTTTCAGTATTAAGGCTATAGAAAAAGTTTTCAGTGTACCTGACCTAAGGGAATAGTGCACACCCGTGCCCGACTTGAGGAATATATTAGGCAAGGAACTTCATCCAATCAAAAGAAGTGAAAAAGGACTGAAGTTGAGCATTTCATATATTTAACTGTAGAACTAAAAGTGGGACAGGGGTGGGTTTATGGGTGGAATAGGATGTAAATGTTGTATATTCAGGCAGAGGAGAAAGTGTTACAACTAAAAAAGAATGGGAGAAAGGGGAAGTATAATAAGACTTGCCTGTTGTAGGTAATAGATGAGATTTGAAGGATACCATGTAAAACTAACAGACCAAATAATAAAATGTTAAATAAAAAAAACACATTGGGCCGGCCCGGTGGCGCACTGCTACAGTGCGCCGCTTGGGAAGCGCGGCGGCGCTCCTGCCGAGGGTTCGGGTCCCACATACAGACCAGTTCCCGCTCACTGGCTGAGCGAGGTGCAGGGAGCAACACCGAGGGTTGCGATCCCGTTGCCGGTCCCGGGCCGGTGCGGGTGCGACACTGAGGGTTGCGATCCGTTGCCGGTCATGAAAAAAGACAAAAAGAAAAAAAAAAAATAAAGCATAGTAAGACATAAGAAGATTAACTACAAAGATAAATAGCAGGGGGAACAAACTTTCTGAATACCAAAAATATTGTTTAAAAAAGCAAAGAAGACACACTAAGTAGATAAACAGTAAATATAATACATATAGTAATTCCAACCTAAAATAATTTTACAGTGTTAAAAACTAAACATTATCAGCCATATTAATAAATGTGAGCAGGTTTAATTCACCTAATAAAAGAACAAACTTTCCAAATTAGCTCATAAAGCAAACCCCAACTCTATACAAGAGACACATACAAATAGTCATTCAAAAATCTAAAAATAAAGGGATAGATAAAGATTTGTCAAGACAACCATAAAAATAAAAACAAACAATTTCCAACTCAAAAAGCTAGGAAAGGAACCACAAAGTCAACCCAGAAAAACACAGGGAAGGAAATAATAATAAAAGTGTAGAGACAATGAGGTAGAGAACAAAAAAGCAGAGGATCAAATTAATAAGTTAAAATTTTGGTTCCTTGAAAAAAAAAATCAACAAATTGTATTGGGTGGTTTCCAGGAGATATTGTTAATGAAAAAAGCAAGGTCCAAAATAATATATTTAGTATGTTATCCTGTGTGTAAGAAAGAAGGGGAAATAAAACATGCCTCTACACTATCTGTTCATCCTTACGATAAGAGACAAAATGCAAACCAAAAAACTATGAAGTTGCTTACCTAAATGGGTTTGGGCGGGGGAATAGGAGAGATGGAGTTGGGGTGTATGTGACACTTCCATGAGTTTGTTTCTTAGTTTAGTGTTTGTTTTTTGTTTATTTGTTTTTAAATAAACAACAGAAATTTACTTCCCCTAGTCTGGAGGCTGGAAGTCTGAAGTCGAGTTCTGGTGAGGGTGCTCCTCTGGTTGCAGACTGCCAGATTCCTGTTGTGTCCTGTCCTGGTGAAAAGAGAGTGAGCTGGCTCTCTGGCCTTTTCTTATGAGGGCACTAATCTCATTCGTGAGAGCTCCACCCTCATGACCAAATTACCTCCCAAGGGTCTGCCTCCTGATACTGTCCCATTAGGGACTAGATTTCAGCATGTGAATATGGAGGGGGGGATGCAAACACTCAGTCCAGAACAGCTACTAATCTTCTCTTAGGGTAGATTGCCAACACTAAGAAAAAAAATGTTCCAGTTTTAAATAGAGAAGATGGAAAAACACTCTAAAAATTATGTAACATGGTTTTATTTCACCATAATTTGGTTTATCCACACTGTTTTTGTTTTGTTTATTTTTTTTATTGTGGTAACACACACATATAACGTTTAGCATCATAACCATTTTTAAGTGTACAGTTCATTGGTATTAAATAAATTCATAATGTTGTGCAATCATCTCCTTAACACTCATTTTGTAAAATTGAAACTCTATAGCCATTAAACAATAACTTAGAATTTCCTCCTAACCCCAGCCCCTGGCAACCACTATTCTGCTTTCTATCTCTATGATTTTGACTGCTCTAAGTAACCGTATATAAGTGGAATCATACAGTATTTGTCTTTTTGTGACTTGCTTATTCACTTAGCGTAATATTCTCAGTTTATCTGTGTTGTGGCTTATTGTGAAATTTCCTTCCTTTTTACGGTTGAATAATATTCCATTGTATGGACATACTATATTTTGTTTATTTATTCATCTGTTGATGGATACTTGGGTTGCTTCCACATTTTAGCTTTTGTTAATAATGCTGATATAAATATGGGTGGACAAATACCTTTTTGAGACCCTGCTTTCAATTCTTTTGGGTATATACCCACAAGTAGTTTTGCTGGATCATGTGGTATTTTTAATTGTTTTTAACTTTTTGGTGTCCTACTGTTTTCCACAGAGGCTGTTCCTTTTTATATTGCCATTGACAGTGCGCTAGTGTTCCAGTTTCTCCACCTCCTTGTCAACACTTCTTATTTATTTTTTTGATAGTAGCCATCCTAATGCATGTGAGGTGGTATCTCATTGTAGTTTTGACTTGAATTTTCCTGATGATTAGTGATGCTGAGTGTCTTTTTATGTGCTTATCGGCCATTTGTATATCTTCTTTGGGAAAATGTCTATTTAAGTTTCTTGCTCATTTTTGAATTGGGTTGATTGCTTTTTTGTTCAGTGTTAGGATAGGAGTTCTCTATGTATTCTGGATATTAATCCTTTATCAGATACATGATTTGCAAATATTTTCTCTAATCCTGTGGGTTGCCTTTTTACCCTATTGATAGTGTCTTGGTAATTTAGATAGAGACTGGGTCATTTATAAACAATAGAAATTTATTTCTCACAGTTGAGGCTGGAGATTCAAGATGAAGGCTCCAGCAGGTTTGGTGTCTGGTGAGAGTTGCTCCCTGCTTCTCAGATAGTGCCTTGAATGCTGTTTCCTCCGGAGCAGATGAACCCTGTGCCCTCACATGGCAGAAGGGAAGGGGGTGAATTCACTCCCTCCAGCCCTTTTATAAGGGCCTTAATCTGCCCTCTTGACTTAATCACCTCTTAAAGCCTCCTGTCCTCCTAATGCTATCAAATTGGTGATTAAGTTTCATCATATGAGTTTTGGGGGACACATTCAGATCATAGCAGTGTCTTTTGATGCACAGTTTTTAAAAAATTTTCATGAAGTTCAGTTTGTCTATTTTTTCTTTTGTCGCCTGTGCCTTTGGTGCCATAATAAACAAATGATTGCCAAATCCAACGTGAAGTTTTTGCCCTATGTTTTCTTTTAAGAGTTGTGTTTTTGAAGTCTTACATTTAGGTCTTTGATCCATTTTGAATTAATTTTTGTGTATGGTGTTATGTAAGGGTCCAACTTCATTCTTTTGCATGTGGATATCTGGTTTTCCCAGCACTATGTGTTGAAAAGACTCCTTTTCCCATTGGATGGTCTTTGGTATCCTTGTCAAAAATCATTTGACCATATATGCTAAGGTTTGTTTCTGGGCTCTCTATTCTGTTTCATTGGTCTGACTTTATCATACTGTTTGGATTACTGTGTCTTTGTACATTGAGTTTTGAAATCAGGAAGTGTAAATCCTCCAGCTTTGTTCTTCTTTATCAAGATTGTTTTGTTTATTCGGGGTCCCTTGAGATTTCATATGAATTTTAGGATGGGTTTTTCTATTTCTGCAAAAAAGGTCATTGAGATTTTGATAGGGATTGCATTGAATCTGTAGATAGCTTTGGATAGTATTGAGATTTTAGTAGTATTAAGTCTTCTAATCCATGGACATGTTCTAAAATGCGTGTGTGTTCACATACGTGTTGCCAAACTCTGCTGAAGAGGCTAGAAGCAAAGATATCTCAGTAGCACTGAAGAACTATTGCATAGAGCTAATAGTGTTGCTTTCCCCACTAAAAGAACCAGGGCTTCTCAGAATTGGGGGCTGAGGCATGGAAGGTATAAAATGTATTTAGAACATCTTTTTTACCAGAAAGTAAGGAATGCTGAAAATTTTAAAAAGAGAAAGAAAGAAAAAAAATAGAAAAGTGCATGTCAAGAGGACACAGAAGCAAGCTTGAATGGGTTCCCATTGGCCACATCTGGGACAAGTTAAGCATCAGTATAGTTAAAGACAGTAATTAATTATGAACTATTAAAAATTAGGAATCAATGAGTTCATGCTTCTAAAAAATAAATAAATAGGTAAGTAAATAAATAAATGGGGGAGAAGGGCGGGATCTTGCTTGCAGGATAACGATGAGTTCTGACTGATAAATGTGCAGGGGGTGATGGAGTTGGAAAAGGCATCACGTTGTAACCATCACAGTAAAGATTAATTCAGGCAAGAATCATTAATGGATACTACACTAGGGGTCAATTTCGATGAGAACCAGGATATTTACATATGTCAAAGTGTCTGCCCAGAGACTGTTAGAAATATTAGGGCAAATATAATTACCATCTAGTGGTAAAACCAGACAACACCTTGACTCAGTGATCAGAGTGAACGTTACCAACGAAGGACAGATGGACATTGTGTGCCATATGCACCATTGCTATGTAATACTGTGACCAGGAGTGCATTACCTGAGCTTTACCAGGAGGAAGCATCAGACAAACACAACATGAGGATTCTATCAAAAAGGCTGGGGGGCTTATAGTATTCAAAATACCAGTGTCTTGAAAGACAAAGAGAAGTTGAGGAACTGTTGCAGATTAAAGAAAATTAAAGTGATGCGATAAATAAATGCAGTAAGGAATCCTGAGCTTTATCCTGTACTGGAAGGGAAAAAAATGTTAAAATGGAAATTATTGGGTTAATTCATAAGATTAAAATATGAATGGTTAGTGTAGCTATAAGCATTGTGTCAGTGTTTTCAGTTTCGGGTTCTTATAATTAAGGGCTCTATGCACCTTTGTGTACAAGTCTTTGTATAGACATCTGCTTTCATTTCTCTCACTAAATACCGAGAAGCGGAATGCCCGGGACCACGTAGCAGATGTATGTTTAGCTTTTTAAGACACTTATTGTGTCAATGTTAAGTTTTCTGAAGTTGCTTTTTCTATTTTTAGGATATGCGCATTGATGTATTTAGGAGGAAGGGAGCATAACGTATGCAACTTTAAAATATTTCAGAAAAGGAAAAAAAGTATATTAATATACATACATATTACATATATACATATGTGTGTGTATATATAGAGAGAAAGAGAATAAATAAAACAAATGGGGTAAATGTTAACAGTTGGTAAATCTGGGTGAAGGATATATGGGACTTCTTTGTCCTATTGTTGCAACTTTTCTATAATCTTAAAATTATTTCCAAATAAAAAATTAAAAAATGAATGCCCTAACAGATTCGGGTGGAAATGTTCTGGGTTGTGAGGATAAGTATCACGCTGTGAAAGCATGGGAGTGTAGTGAAGATGTGTTAGTGTCGCTTTGGCAGCACTGACCCCAGGGTGCTGCCGTGCTGTCTGTCTGTCTGTCTTCATTTCTGTGCCTCACAATGGCCTCAAATGGTAACAGATTGTTAAATGAAGTTTTTTTTTTTTTTTTTTCCTGGATCAGTCTCCAAATCCCCTGAGATAAATCTCCAGATCTATCTGCTTTCTCCACATTTCTACTTGTTAGCGACTATATGATAGTTGTCAGGCTCAGTTTGTGATCCTTCAGCTTTAAAATGATGTCGTGAATATGGGAATGGTTAGTGTTACCAGAAAAAGAAACCCAGAGGAGATGTTAAATCCTAGTTACTTTAGTTTCAAAAATATTGCAGGTTGCAGGTTGAATTGATAATTTTACAATATGCTGGAGGAAGAGAAATACCATGAACTTCTCATTCCTCTCAGGTCCCAAAGTGGACATAAATTTGCCCCAGAAGGCTCTGAGTGTTTTTGCAGAGCCTTTTACCAACCAAGGCGGTGATTTCCTTAGAGATCTTTAAGAGTATATTCTCCATCACTGAATGGTATCTGCGCATTTGTTTGCCTTCCCTCACAGTTATTTACTAGACAACTTCCTGAAGACTGATTCCAAATTAGGTACTTAGAATGTTTAACTCGTGTGCCAAAAACAGGATAGTGTCCAGAGATAGGATTTCCTGGTCACTCAGAAACTCAACATTATTGGAGGCCTTGACCTTCAGACAAAACCAAATCAGCAGATGTAAACCTGATCAGCAGACTTGTAGACTGTGAGCACCTCCACTTGCTAGAGGTTTTTTTTCATTAGTTTGTTTTCTTCACTTTCAGCTTTAGCTTTATTAGTTGGGGTATTTTTGTAAGACGCATGAGCATGGATACAGAAGGTGATCTCTTCTGGTGCATCTTTATTTTGTTTTCTTATCACCCACTCCTGTCCCCAGAAATGAGACTTCGGAACACTGGTCTCCATGTGAACCCTGCTCTGTGAGAAAGGATTTCACAGTTAATAATTTGGAGAAATGCCTGGTATTGTATCCCCCTCCTGGAGATGCATGATGCTTCTGAATCACAGGCTCTGAAAAACACACCAAAGTTTATTTAGTCCATTAAAAAATTTTAACCCAAAGTTACTGATCATGGGAAAATGTTTTTAAGGAATGCTGATTAATATCACAAGAAAGCTAGGACTGTGGTTTGCAACCTGGAAAGCTCTTGATTAGGAAGAAACAGGAGGACTTGATCAGACATTTCTAAGTGATATAAGTTCTTAAAACACAGAAAAACTAGGCTTTCTTAGTATTAACCTTTGTGTCTACTTTAAAAAATTATTTATAGATTTTATTATTTTATGAAATCTTTTGGTTTTTTTCATTCTTACAGCAGCTGTAGTTGCTGGCATTTTTCTGACCAGCTCATGGATATTCTCACTGCACTGTGTAAGCTATGGTTGTTAACACATGACAAAGAGGGATAAGGGTCAAAAGGTGTCAAAGGTATAAACAGACATGAAAGGTTCATGGGCGGGTGTGGCCTTCTTGAGGGAAGCACTAGCTTAATGGTGCATGATCATCTGAGGATCTCTAGGAAAGCCTTGCTGCCTGATTTTCTTCCCCACCTGCCAGCCAAGTGCCTGACATGAACCCCCAACTCATTTATACCCTGAAAGCTCCTTTTTTGGGCCATTGATAAATTATTAAGATACCCAGTCCATCTGAAAAGATGCGAGGACTGGTTCACACACACTTGGGAAAAGGACAGATAGGCAGGAAATCTCTAGCAGACCGGCCACATTCACTTTGTCAGCCCACTCCCCCCACCCAAACTAGGCTGCCATGTTCTGGTTCTGTTCCAGGTTCTGTTAAACCTGGGGAGTGAGCCCCTTGTTTCTCCTTTTCTCTTCTGTTTCCAGTAATTTATAGTGTTTCTACATTTAAAGGGGTCTTTTTAAAAACTCCATTTCCTTTAAAAATCACTCAAATTTCACCTCTAAATAATTTCAGCATAGTATTGTACAACGTGAACAGCGGCATGTAAGAACCATAAAATATTTATTCTGATACCACATTTGTATTAAATAATTGTTGCTTATTCTCTTTGGCATCTCAGTATCTCCAGGCTGCAGCACTTGCTGAGCTGTTATGACCCCAGCGAGCCGGTGTTTCTGGGAGAGCGCTACGGCTACGGCCTGGCCACTGGCGGCTACAGCTACATCACAGGAGGAGGAGGGTAACTATAGCACAGCTTTCTGCACATACTCTGAACATTAAACTTCCCTTTCCACAAGGTAGAGGTGGCTCTGTGGCGCTGGGATCTGTACTGATATGTGTGTACTCTATAAATGGTAGCTGTTAGTAGAATAGGAAAGGGAACATTATATAGGTATTTGCTAAATATAAAAAGGACCCATAGTAAGGAATATTTACCCCTCAAAGAGACAATAAAAAATTCTATGTCAGGGCCGACCCTGGCGCACTCGGGAGAGTGCGGTGCTGGGAGTGCAGCGACGCTCCCGCCATGGGTTCTGATCCTATATAGGAATGGCTGGTGCGCTCACTGGCTGAGCGCAGTGCGGACGACACCAAGCCTAGGGCTGCGATCCCCATACTGGTCACGAAAAAGACAAAAAAAAAAAAAATTCTATGTCAGGGCCGCCCCTGGCGCACTCGGGAGAGTGCGGTGCTGGGAGTGCAGCGACGCTCCCGCCATGGGTTCTGATCCTATATAGGAATGGCTGGTGCGCTCACTGGCTGAGCGCAGTGCGGACGACACCAAGCCTAGGGCTGCGATCCCCATACTGGTCACGAAAAAGACAAAAAAAAAAAAAATTCTATGTCAGTGTACTTGGTAGAAATGTCCCTGTAATTACGATTGCTTCTAGGTAGCCAAATAGTTTTGATTGTTTAAATGAAAAAAAATTGGTTATAGATTTTAATTTCAGAAAATAAGCCATCAGACTTTTAAATTCTCCAGTGCTTAATAAATCATGTTTTGATTTATTAAGCACTGGAGAGTATCATAGAAGCTTAGACTTAGGCAATTAAGTGATATTTGTGTAGGATTTATAGGTTTTAAATAACAATTAAAAATCAATGTTTTTAAATGAAGCATCTGCCTAATCTCTTATGAGGAAAGATTTTAATTTGATTTATATGGGTAAATCAATTGAGCAGTTAGTCTTTTCTATTCTATAATCTTTGTTATTGGGGTGTTCAAGGAGAATCTTGTTATCAACTATAGTCATTTAAATTCATTCAGCAGATGTTTGTTGAATGTACAACATGTGCTGAGCAATGTTCTAATTTAGAATTCAGGGATTATAAACCTCTGAAGGGCTAGGACCATGTACTCCTGCTTTGCATGGTTCCTACCATGAGATCTCCAGAGGCACATTGCAGGTATCTGGTTCATTCTAGCTGATTCAGTGGCGAACATGTATGGCGGTGGCTTTTTTGTAGAGATAACCAAGCCTGAGCAGGAGCGCTTATCTTTGTTGCATCTACCTCGGGTCATTAGCAACAGGACATGGGAGTCCCAGGAGGCCTTTGAAAAGACACTAGAAGGCCAAGGAGTGTTGACCTCTACATTAAAAAATGGCCTGTGGTGATGCATTTAGCTTTTTGTGCAAGGTGTCAGGGCCAGCTAAGGATCAGGGCATGGCACCCACTGAGCCAGTACTCTCTGCTGTTGAAAGGGGCCCTGTACTTGGCATATGGGTTTATATATTTTGTATCATGATGTTGTTCATATTCTTTTAACACAGAAGTGACTTTTTGTGTTTCTGCAAGAGAACTATTTTGTTGTCTTTCTTGACTGTTGGATTTAGCTGTTTTGAGTCCGGCACTTGTGGCCTTCTGAAATGTCACTTTATCTTCCCTAACTAGCACTGCCTTTCATCACTCCAGGTAGTGGGTTGTTCATTCAACTAGTCTGGTGTGTGCCAGGCATTGGATGCACAGGTGAAAGCCGCATAGCCCCTTCCCTACAGGAGCTCACATGCTGGGGCCAGATTGGCAGATACATAGTGTGATTGTCACTGCTCCCCTTCCTGTGCCCATGGCAGGTCCTGCTAGATCACCAAGGTGGCACCTTTAACCTCCTCTATGTTCAACCTCTACCTCGCTAGTGGACGTCTCCTGCCACCTCTAGTTTTCCCATCTGAAAACTTCTTTCCGTCCGCATGCCATCTCTTCTCTGTCTCTATTTTCTCAGCACTGTATTTAACCTTCTACGTAAACTACCTCACCAAGGTCCACGATGACCTCACAGTAGCCAAATCAGGTGGATCCTTTCCAGTCTTCTCTCATTTCACCTCTTAGCAGCCTGTGATGAAAATGCCTGTTTACTTAAATCCTTCTTTCCCTTGCATTCCAGAATGCCATCCTGCCTTTGTCCATTCCTATCTTTCTGGCCAGACCTTCTCAGTTCTTTTTATCTGTCCCTTCAATGTCTTTGTTTCTCAGGTGTCTTTTCTAGTCTCCCTTCTCTTCTCATTCTGTGGCCTCCCTGGGTGAACTCATTGGCCCCGTGGCCTGATGCTGAACTCTCCTGACCTCCTGGTTCCCAGACCCACCTACCAGAGGACAACTCCATGTGGTGGTTCTCAGGCACGTCACACTCAACACCTCCCATATGGAACTCATTTCTGACTTCAGCCCCTGATTTGGTTTTCTCCAGCGATCCCCTCTCAGGGAAGGTATCAGCACATGTGAGTTCCTGCCCCTGGAGTCTGAGAGTCAGCTCACACCCTTTCCTGTCTTCTTTTCCCACTCCCCTGCAGTTGACTGAATTGCTAAGTCATGTCAGTGTTATCTCCCGAATGCCTCTTCCACCACTACTTCTCTCCACATCCAGTAATCTTGTCTCGGTCATGGCCACCTCTTCTGTGGGTTCCTGCTGCAGCCTCCTGCTCTTCCGACATCTCATCTTACTGCACTCACTGCATGCTGTCACCCACACCGTAGTCAGAGACCTTTACAAAAGCAGATCCGATCCTCTCTCTCCCCTGCCCAGAGGCCTTTAATGGCTTCCCGTTGCCTTTATTTTTTCCCAAGAGTGTGAATGCTCTTCTGCCTTTGGGATCTTAGATGAGCAAATGATCATTCAGACTGCAGCAAGCGTGAGGCTGGTCTGGGGTTAGGCCTCCATTTTAACCACCTCCAGTTTGCCACCTCGACAGCCTCCTGGGTGCTGCTGAGCCACTGCCGCGGGGCTGAGGGCTCCGGCAGGTCTCCTCATCCACCTGCCTGCCCCAGGCCCAGTTGCCCCAGAAAACTGCCACGGCATGCTACTCACCTGTGGAGGATCCTCCTCTCCAGAAATCCGTTCGTCTAGGCTTCATGGTGTCCACTTCTGTTCAGTTCCATAGATAAATGTGATTTTTATTTTATTCACATTTTTCTGTGCGTTACCACGGCATGAAAGTTTTTTGCATCCTTTGATATCCTAACGCTGTGGAACTTTTCCCACCGCCTGCATCTTCTTCTCCCAGATCTTGTAAGCCTTGATTTACATGGCCTTTTGTGACCTTGGCAGATGCTATTTTTCCTTTCTAGCCGCATTCGTCTTTACCCTCATCTTAAGGAATTCATGCTGAACTTGTTTCAGTTTCTCAGAGGCACTATTTTGTTTTCTTTTCCCCCAAGATATGGCATACATAGCATTGTTCCCCATCCCAGCTTTTCTGTCTGGCTAGTTCCTCCTGGTTCTTTGGCCTCAATATAGTTATCATTTATTTACTCCTGGAAGCCTTCAACCCAGTCTGGCCCCTCAAATCTGAGTTTAATGTCTTTCTAATGTACTTTCATAGCATATTATGCAAACCATTATCATTTAATTGCCTATTTACTTTCCTGTTTTCCACTTACATTATGAATTATTTGAAGGCAGCACCTGTGTCTCATTTCTCATTGTGTCCCCTCTTCCTAGCTAGGGACTCATTGTTTTCAAGGTCCAGTGAATAAATGAATAAATAAATGCATGGACACTGGGCATTGATCTTTATGTAACTAGCATTGACCCATGTGATATCCTGTTTTAATAGCACTTTTACAATGATGCAGAAACATTCTTCATGAGATTGTCTCATATTAACCTTTGATAAAAGTTGCAGACACAGTGTTGTATAGTTTCCCTAGTGTTACAGAAGAATTTGTGATGTAGTTTGAGAACCAGCATGCTTTTTTAAATAGCAAGTCATTATGAGTGGCTTGTAAAACCAACTCGTGGCCATAACCAGCAGTTTAAAGTAATGAAATATTGAGTGGAATAGAATAAAATAGGTAGTGTCAGAGTGCATCACGTGTTACTGTTTTGTGAAATTTTTGTTTCAGTTCTATACACACGCACACAACACATATAAATGGTTGCAATGTAAGATGCATTTCTTGTTTTCTGACTGGGTTATGGTCGTGTAAATTTTTGAAAACCACTGTCTCACCCCACCCTTCCTAGGCCCCACTTGTGCAAGCTGAGTCAGAAGTGTGCACTCCAGTGTTGCTATGTCGTTGGAAAGTGAGACCCTTCCCCTGTTTGAATCCAGTGTATGTTTTTCATTTTCTTACTGACTCCTTCAAAGTTTGGGCATTTGGAGAAAAATAGTTGCATGACCATTTTCTTCTTTCAAAACTATATATATGTGAATTTGGGTAGGAAGCTGTCCTCGGAGTGGGTAGGAAGCTGTCATCAGTCTATTTGGAAGCCCTGGGGGCAAATGACTGCACCAGAATAGGACAGAGGACAGTGTCCTTGGAGCAGGCCACAGGTAGTGCTACCCAAAGAGACAGGCATGAGCTGCTCATCTGCTGAAGACCAAGAAGTGGGCAGGAACCCGGAGGGGCTGTGGATTAGACCACCTAGAGGTGATTTTGACTGAGGCGTAATCCCAGATCAACTTGACTCTGGTTGAAATCTGAGTGTTCTTCTCCTCAGCTTAGCGTTTCTGATGCACTTTATCTTCTGTGTGGATTCTTGATCTGCAGGTGTGTCTTTGGGCAAGTCCCAGCCTCCCATTTCAGTTTTTCTTATTTCTAAAATTTGTATTTTGTATGTTGAAAGAAATCAAATTTTTAATCTTGTAGCCTTTCAACATCTTTTTAATATTTAGAAGCTGGTGGACAGAGCAGACAGGTGCTTTTTTCTACCATATGACTAGCAGTTTTCCATGTGGGGGAGCAACTTTGGGAAGAACCCGTCAGCATGCTAAGAAATGTGTATTATTAAAGGCCCTCGTGCACTTAGTTTACGTGAATAATTAAAGTCTGTTCTGTATGAGTGGGCAGAAGTATAAAATAATTACTAATAAAAAGAGAGTAGATCAAAGTCAAGGGCCTTCCTTTTCTTTCTTATTCTATGAGATGCTGGCAAAAGGAAAAAGCAGGCCAGCATTTTTACAGTTTACTGCCCACACATGTCCTCTCACACAGCCCCTTTTCCTGAGGTCAGTAGGTTGAGCCCTGCGTGGCCAGCTCGGTGCAGGACTTTGTCGCAGCCGTGAAGACATGAGACCCAGGGAGTTTCACAGGTGGACAGGAGACTTTCTTAAGAGAAAGGCAATTGATGGCAGGTTTCAGACTTGCAGCTTTCCTTTTTGTATAGTTGACAAGAACTTTTTTCTTCTTTTTTGTACAGTCATATCTCCTAGTGTCATCTTTAATAAAGAGCTGCTTTTTCCTCTTGTCTGTCACATTTCCTCCTGTCATGTGATGTCTTAGCAAGGCAGGGAGCGAGTCGTCTTCGCTGCTGCAATCTCAGAGCTTGGTTACAAGTGTCAGGTAAACTGCACTGAAGCGAGCCCATCTGTGAGTGGAATCCTTGTTTTTGAATCAGGAATTGTGTTCACGCTCTTTGTCCTTTTCCCTTCTTGCTAGACTGGTTCATAGAACGCTTCCATCCTCGGGAAGATTTTTGCAAAGGCAGATTTGTTCCCGCGTGTTTATGGGAACATATGGGTGGATTTTAGATAGTTTCACCTTAAAGAAAGTCTTTAGAGAATGAACTTGTGGACTATATTAGTCCCTTCAGCTCTGTTAGCCTTTCGGCTATTCATGATATGAAAAGATTCATTATTCTCGTAGAACCAGAGGGAAACCAGAAACCAACCTATATTTTTAAAAAAGGATAATTTATTGAGGGAACTTGATTCCAAAGTGTTGGAAAAAGCCAGTGGACTGACTGGTTCATAGAACGCTTCCATCCTCGGGAAGATTTTTGCAAAGGCAGATTTGTTCCCGCTTGTTTATGGGAACATATGGGTGGATTTTAGATAGTTTCACCTTAAAGAAAGTCTTTAGAGAATGAACTTGTGGACTATATTAGTCCCTTCAGCTCTCTTAGCCTTTCGGCTATTCATGATATGAAAAGATTCATTATTCTCGTAGAACCAGAGGGAAACCAGAAACCAACCTATATTTTTTAAAAAAGGATAATTTATTGAGGGAACTTAATTCCAAAGTGTTGGAAAAAGCCAGCGGACAAAAAGAGAGCATGTGGATGTACCTAGAGATCAGTAATTATAGAAAGCTGCTGTTGGCCATAAGGCTGGAGGAGGAAAGAAGGTTCTGTTTGGTATAGCCCATTGATGCAGCATTGCTGTGGCCACTCCTGCTGTGGAATCATAGCCCTGCATCAGAGCTGGGACCGGCATCTGGCACCCCAGACGCTCCGTGCTCCATGCTAACTCTGCCCGGAGCATGTGGCTGCCCCTGTTGCCTGCCTCTGCCACAGAGACCACCAGGGCCAGAGGCAGATGGCCTTTCCTGTTATTGTGCCCCTTGTTGTCACATGAAACCAGGACCCAGTTGATAAAGCAAGCTGGAAAAGATTGTTTTAAAGTTTCTAGCCTCTTGCAGTGCTGAGGAGAACACAGAAAGGCAACATCTCTTAAAAGTCATTTTGCTTTCATAGAAAGCACAAAAACATTTTCTCCAGAGTTACTATTAAATATAAAAGACTACTGATGTCAGCATCTTTTTTTTTTTTTTTTTTTGTGACCAGTAAGGGGATCGCAACCCTTGGCTTGGTGTCGCCCGCACCGCGCTCAGCCAGTGAGCACACCGGCCATCCCTATATGGGATCCGAACCCGCGGCGAGAGCGCTGCTGCACTCCCAGCGCCACACTCTCCCGAGTGAGCCACGGGGTTGGCCCAGCATCTTTTATCTTTATCAGAAATGTGGCCTCCGAGCTATAGTTCTTTATTCAGAATAACAGTCTCAGTGCAGCTCCCTGACCCCTTTCTCTGTCTCTCTGGCCCCTACCAGGATGGTCTTTAGCAGAGAAGCCATCAAAAGACTTCTCACCAGTAAATGTCGATGCTACAGCAACGATGCCCCCGACGACATGGTCCTGGGAATGTGCTTCAATGGGTTGGATGTCCCTGTGACACACAGCCCTCTCTTCCATCAGGTGAGAAAATGGTTTTTATTCCTACCTCAAGGGAGAGGGATACATTTTCTTGTCACATAAGAATTTTACTTCTTTCTCTTCACATATTCTGAAAACAGTATTAAGAATATGTTACAGGCTCCAGGGGCACACCCTTAACAGACCTTTCTTCCTCTCTGATGTGCATTCTGAACTGTGTATGTCCTGAAAATGGGAGCAAAGAAGGTTCTGTTTGGTATAGCCCATTGATGCAGCATTGCTGTGGCCACTCCTGCTGTGGGATCATAGCCCTGCATCAGAGCTGGGACCGGCATCTGGCACCCCAGACGCTCCGTGCTCCGTGCTAACTCTGCCCAGAGCATGTGGCTGCCCCCGTTGCCTGCCTCTGCCACAGAGACCACCAGGGCCAGAGGCAGATGGCCTTTCCTGTTATTGTGCCCCTTGTTGTCACGTGAAACCAGGACCCAGTTGATAAAGCAAGCTGGAAAAGATTGTTTTAAAGTTTCTAGCCTCTTGCAGTGCCGAGGAGAACACAGAAAGGCACATATATAAAATTGCCTACTAGGTAGGTAAACATCTCTTACAAGTCATTTTGCTTTCATAGAAAGCACAAAAACATTTTCTCCAGAGTTACTATTAAATATAAAAGACTACTGATGTCAGCATCTTTTTTTTTTTTTTTGTGACCGGTAAGGGGATCGCAACCCTTGGCTTGGTGTCGCCCGCACCGCGCTCAGCCAGTGAGCGCACCAGCCATCCCTATATGGGATCCGAACCTGCGGCGGGAGCGCCACACTCTCCTGAGTGAGCCACGGAGTTGGCCCAGCATCTTTTATCTTTATCAGAAATGTGGCCTCCGAGCTATAGTTCTTTATTCAGATTAACAGTCTCAGTGCAGCTCTCTGACCCCTTTCTCTGTCTCTCTGGCCCCTACCAGGATGGTCTTTAGCAGAGAAGCCATCAAAAGACTTCTCACCAGTAAGTGTCGATGCTACAGCAACGATGCCCCCGACGACATGGTCCTGGGAATGTGCTTCAATGGGTTGGATGTCCCTGTGACACACAGCCCTCTCTTCCATCAGGTGAGAAAATGGTTTTTATTCCTACCTCAGGGGAGAGGGATACATTTTCTTTTCACATAAGAATTCTACTTCTTTCTCTTCACATATTGTGAAAACAGTATTAAGAATATGTTACAGGTTCCAGGGGCACACCCTTAACAGACCTTTCTTCCTCTCTGATGTGCATTCTGAACTGTGTATGTCCTGAAAATGGGAGGTGAAAACATCTAGAAAACCAGACTAGTATCCTTGCATGTAGGACCAGACAAAAGCTGCTCTTTTTTTTTTCCTTTTTGGTTAAAAAATTGATGGCATTGGGCCGGCCCGGTGGCGCACTGCTACAGTGCGCTGCTTGGGAGCGTGGTGGCTCTCCCGCCGAGGGTTCGGNCTTAGCCTTTCGGCTATTCATGATATGAAAAGATTCATTATTCTCGTAGAACCAGAGGGAAACCAGAAACCAACCTATATTTTTTAAAAAAGGATAATTTATTGAGGGAACTTAATTCCAAAGTGTTGGAAAAAGCCAGCGGACAAAAAGAGAGCATGTGGATGTACCTAGAGATCAGTAATTATAGAAAGCTGCTGTTGGCCATAAGGCTGGAGGAGGAAAGAAGGTTCTGTTTGGTATAGCCCATTGATGCAGCATTGCTGTGGCCACTCCTGCTGTGGAATCATAGCCCTGCATCAGAGCTGGGACCGGCATCTGGCACCCCAGACGCTCCGTGCTCCATGCTAACTCTGCCCGGAGCATGTGGCTGCCCCTGTTGCCTGCCTCTGCCACAGAGACCACCAGGGCCAGAGGCAGATGGCCTTTCCTGTTATTGTGCCCCTTGTTGTCACATGAAACCAGGACCCAGTTGATAAAGCAAGCTGGAAAAGATTGTTTTAAAGTTTCTAGCCTCTTGCAGTGCTGAGGAGAACACAGAAAGGCAACATCTCTTAAAAGTCATTTTGCTTTCATAGAAAGCACAAAAACATTTTCTCCAGAGTTACTATTAAATATAAAAGACTACTGATGTCAGCATCTTTTTTTTTTTTTTTGTGACCGGTAAGGGGATCGCAACCCTTGGCTTGGTGTCGCCCGCACCGCGCTCAGCCAGTGAGCGCACCAGCCATCCCTATATGGGATCCGAACCTGCGGCGGGAGCGCCACACTCTCCTGAGTGAGCCACGGAGTTGGCCCAGCATCTTTTATCTTTATCAGAAATGTGGCCTCCGAGCTATAGTTCTTTATTCAGATTAACAGTCTCAGTGCAGCTCTCTGACCCCTTTCTCTGTCTCTCTGGCCCCTACCAGGATGGTCTTTAGCAGAGAAGCCATCAAAAGACTTCTCACCAGTAAGTGTCGATGCTACAGCAACGATGCCCCCGACGACATGGTCCTGGGAATGTGCTTCAATGGGTTGGATGTCCCTGTGACACACAGCCCTCTCTTCCATCAGGTGAGAAAATGGTTTTTATTCCTACCTCAGGGGAGAGGGATACATTTTCTTTTCACATAAGAATTCTACTTCTTTCTCTTCACATATTGTGAAAACAGTATTAAGAATATGTTACAGGTTCCAGGGGCACACCCTTAACAGACCTTTCTTCCTCTCTGATGTGCATTCTGAACTGTGTATGTCCTGAAAATGGGAGGTGAAAACATCTAGAAAACCAGACTAGTATCCTTGCATGTAGGACCAGACAAAAGCTGCTCTTTTTTTTTTCCTTTTTGGTTAAAAAATTGATGGCATTTAAAAATTATTGGGTGCTCTCTTGAATTGTATAGGACTGACCTAATATTGTCCTACTGGCCATCAAGTGTATGTAATTCTCCATCATCCTCAGTTTTTACATGTTCCTCTGGCAGTCTTTTTACTGGTCTTTCTTCCCTTTGGCTGCTATTAAGCTGAGTGGCTAAAGTCTATTCAATTTCAAAATAGTATTTCCATAAGCTACATTCTGGGGGTTATGGAAAAGAAAAGATGAGGTGATGTTTACCCGGGATGCTTAGTGCTCCACCATATTGCAGTTTGGGGTTAGAGAAGGGAATCCTTCTGCATTATTTATAGTAATCTTCTAAAAATCAGGTCAGTGAATTTTTTTCTATTCTGAGAATAATAGCAGATATACGTAAACTAGAAATAACCATAGAACCTCACCCATCTAATGCACTCCCTCAAGAAATTCAAAGCTTTTTGAAATTTGAAATGTGTAAATGCATGTGTATTTTAAGTGCCCTTCCTTATATTGAAAATATAGTCTTCATCTTTTATTTGGTAACAACAGCAAATGCTGTCATAGCAGTGTAGAAAATTGAGCATAGCACTATAGAAAACAACTTGAACAAGACAAAGAAACTGTTTGCATTGTCAAGAATGGCAGAATCTATTTTTGATATCCTTGGTACAAAAAAGAAGGATAAAAATAGATCTTTAATAGAAAGAAATGTATGAAAAACCTCCTTCTTGGAATTAGGCATCCTTTAAAACTTTCAGAGGTCTCACCTATTTTAAGCCTGTGTGCTGTGTTATGATGACTTAGAAAAGCATGCTATTCTCTTTTGCCCCCTCTCTTACTCTATCTCGTGATATTTTACTCATAGAAGATGAAGTAACTGAAACTGTTGGTGTATAAGGGAAATAACTTATCAAGTTTAGCATGACAGGTTTCGATTTTTATAGCAGCCCTTTTTACTTAGGGTAGAGTACATTATTAAATAAAATGATAAGAATAAAAGAAAGAAGGAAAATAATCTAATTCTTAAGTAAAAACCCTTTGAAGAGAATTTTAAAACTCTTGATTTCTCTAATTCACAAAAACTTTAAACCTTTCCAAAATCATAAAATATATTTAAAACCTATCCTCCCCAATAGCTAGTGCTGTATCTTCCAATTATTAAGACTCTTTTGGAGCATTTGATATGATTTGGAGAGTGCTTTCCATTTGTAATGTTTTTTTTTTTTGTGAACGGTAAGGGGATTGCAACCCTTGTCACGGTGCAGTCTACACCACGCTCAGCCAGTGAGCGCACCGGCCATCCCTATATAGGATCCGAACCCATGGCAGGAGCGCCACTGCGCTCCCAGCGCCACACTCTCCCGAGTGAGCCACGGGGTCGGCCCACATTTGTAATGTTTAAACACTGATCCAAACAGTGTATTTGTTCATATTGGCAAGCAAATAGGCAAAGAGGTAAAATCTAAGATTCCCAGTGAGTTAGAGGCNCCGAGTGAGCCACGGGGTCGGCCCACATTTGTAATGTTTAAACACTGATCCAAACAGTGTATTTGTTCATATTGGCAAGCAAATAGGCAAAGAGGTAAAATCTAAGATTCCCAGTGAGTTAGAGGCAGAGCAGGAATTTGGAAACCGTCTCAAAGGCAAAGTTGCCTGGGCCGCATTTCTTCTGTTTTTAGGCAGGGAAGGTTATCTTGAAATCACAGATTTAGAAGGGGATTACAAGGAATGACTAGTAGGACATGCCTTTATTAAAAGCAAAGTATCTTCCAGAATTATGTGCCACTAGTGGGTATGGCAGAATGCAGTGGTCAGCAAATCCTCTGCACAAAATACACATATCAAACTGTACAAAATTGTCAAAATAACCATTTCAAGATTCTGGAAATCAAACAAAGCCTACCAATAATGTGAGAAGCATTCATTTCTGAAAGACTGCTGCAGTTTTGGGTAGAACAGTGGAGTCTGAGGCCTTCTTGCCTGAAGCCACTCCCATCCTTACTCTTTCCCCACCCCTCACCCCAGCTTGTTTAGAGAGTGCAGCAGTTTTAACTGTATGGGCCTGGCTGGGAAAAACAGGAGCTTTGCTGCCAGAGAGGGTGGACTGCATTTGGGGAGGGGGAGATGAAAACCTACAGATATGTCAACTAAAATTGTCAAACTTGATAGGGGACAAATAAGAACAACTTGCATCTTTACTGGCCTAGGTTTGCAGTTCCAGTTAGAGTGAGGGATGTAT